TAATCGAATTAAATTAAGTGTCATAAAACAAAAACACAAACATAATTCTTACTGAATATTGGAAACTGATTATGATGTGAGCTTAAACTGTTGTCATGACTGTTGTTATGACATTTGAGTAGTATATATATATATGATTAATCCTTACTTTGGAAAATATTTGCATAATCTAATTAATCTAGAAACAGAGATGACTAAAATTCTAACATCTAGTCTAAAATGGGTTTTCTTTGTTTTGTTGTTTCCAGCTGATTTAAAATAAATTAGAATAGTTTGAATAAACAAATATTTGATCCTGAATTTATATTTATCATGTAACTAAACAAATAATATTAATTAAATATTTTGAAATATATAGACTTTAAATGTTATTTAAGAATGATCTAAAATGTGTTGTGTTTTTTTTTGGTGTAAGGTCAGAATTTTCAATACAAATGTTCAGACAGTTCTACTGTATGAGTTGGAAAAACTGAAGAACTATCAAAGACATCATCCAGAAGATACAAGTGTTTATTGACAGTTGTCTATGCAAGACACTATCAATAACAATGTATTATGGAAGAGAACAAACCAGATTCCAGTAAAGGAAGAAATCAGCAAGAAGCGCTCAAAGTGGATAGGTCATACATTGAGGAAAGCACTTAACTGCGTCACGAGGCAAGCCCTCATTTGGAATCCTCAAGGTTAATGAAGAAGAGTAAAAACAAAAAACATATTACACCGAGAAATGTTGACACACATGAGAAGAATGAACAAGAATTGGATAGAGCTAGAAAGGAGGGCTCAGGACAGATTGGGTTTGAGAATGGTGGTCGGCGGCCTATGCTCCATTGGGAGTAAGTAAGTAATTTGAGTATTAAATAAGAAAGATTAGTTCGAAAATTAGTTCTCTTTTTGGCAAATTCATTTTCAAAGCTGTACAATCGCAAATATATATACTTATTTTGCAGCATGACATTAATTATAATAATACTGATAATAAACTTCTGTTAGACATGGTGATAGCGAGGTAAAATAAACTAAATTATTTTTTTAAAAATTTTAAACAAGGAAAACTTAATAATCGTTTGATTGTAAATGGCTTAAGTATTCATCAAAAGATAAGGAAATTATCCTTGGGAAGAATGGCTCAGCTTCATAAGATAAAATGTTGAAATTGAGATTAAATGTAATCTGGAGGATCGTAGAAACAGAAATAAACCAGTTGGGAGTAGGAGATTTGAGGGGAAGATGGAAGGTCAAGTAGATGGCTGTAAGGGAAGAGAAGAAAGAAAAAATTACAAGACATCAAGACCATGGTAGAAGAAGAGGTTGTACCAAGATCTTTTGCACACTCAATTTTGTTTTTTTCCAGATGTATGGCTGTTGCTTCAGCAATGCAAAGAAGATGCAATCTAATTGTCTTTGGAAAACTTCCACTTACCTTGTACATGACTTTGAACGCGGAGTCTATTTTGATTGAGCCGTTTTATCCTCTTAGCCACGCCGGATAATGTTATTGAATTCTTTTGGATAAAGTACCCATCGAATGACCTATATATCTAGCTCCACATGAGCAGGTAAATTGGTAAATGCACATTGAATTGGTAAGATGAGATAATTTATCCTTATTATTATTGATGAACAATGATCGACTGGAAAATACTATTAGCAACGTTGCTGCGAAGAACACTCTTTTTAAAGAACCAGAAATTCTCCTCTTTAAAAAGTATGTGGCTGTCACCCTTAAAGTCAATGTTCATGTACAATGTTTTCTTTTCTGCTGAAATTATTTATGTTTTCGGTGGCTTCGGTTTTGTTCTTATCAATGAATACCGAGGGATACCCGTTTTTTAAAAGTATCTCCTTCAAAAGGTCAAATTCTTCATCTATGACCTCGGGGCTACAAATTCTTCGTATCATGGACAGATTCTGGCTAATAACCACAAAGCATAGAACAGTTGCTTCGTCTCTGTATGGAACTTCTAGCCGTGATTACTTATGACCATGTTAGAAATTGAGTAAAGCAGCTATTTGAATCTTAGCAACACTTATTTTTCCTTCTCAATATTCATTTGCTATCTAATGAATTACATTCCAACTTTTAGTCAATGCATAGTTTCGCTTGGCCGTCATTCATTATGACAGTTATTACCTATCCTATGCTTGATATGTGAAAATTATAACAATTTCTAACAAGCATGCATTTTCATGAATAACGCTGATATCAAGGAGTGTATGGAGGTCTGTCTTACTGATTCGTAATCCTTAAAATTACCTATTCTTGATACTAAACGAACGTGAATAAAAAGCTATTTTGATTATCCTGATAGTATGGTATAGTTTATTTGATAAATTTGGACTAAATGAGTACAATAACTCATTTATAGTCAGTATTTCTGGAGTATTGGACATATTGCTACTCATACGACAGATGTTATGAGTGATGAGAAATGAGATAATTTAGTGTCACTGACAGCATTTATTTGTTAACGTTTACGATCATCCCATTTTATGCTGTAACGTCTGTATCCTGTTAGATAACTAACTGCACTTGTTCTATATTGATTATTTTCGGTAAAGGATAGATATAAATTTATGTTTTGAGCTCTGGTATTTTCGATTCAATCACAATTATCATGGGATCATAATGACAGAAAATATTTGTTGGCTAATTTATGTTAAAACATTCTGTTCAAGTCTATCGTATATTGTCTAAGTATAAATAAATATTGCCCACAATTCAGGATAAACTAGAATAAATGGATGCTTAGATAAATATTCTGTCGCTTGCACCTAGGAGATAAGCGCCTTTAGCTCGACTTTGTATCAAGACTAGGAATCCGCATCATTATGAAGTCCTTAGTTTGGGCGAAGAAAGTGATTTTTATTATATCAATCTGGAGTGAGGTATCTATTCATCAGCCAAATACAACGGCAGTCATATTATGCTGGTAGTCGATTAAAATTTCAAAACATGAATCAGTTGATTTACAGGTGCCATGACGTGTAATAAACTTTAAAGTCCTAGTTTCAGTCTCTTGAAAAATCATGAATTCAAATTACTAAGAATTCCTGAACGTGGACAAAGTATTATAAACAAAGATAGATAGTGGTTAGCATTGGAATCCATGACGCACGTTTCACCCTATTTCGGACTCATCAGCTGAACGTACATGCATTTCAAAGTTGATGTTCACTTTTAGACTCGAACCCAATAAGAGACTGATCAATTACAGTTCTAACCATCAACAGGAAGATCCAAGTAAACAATACCAAGTGGATGAAGTAATTTTCCAAGAATTTCTTATTCTATATAATTCCCCAATATACGACAAAAATCATTTTGTGGATGTAATAATATTCGAAAATCATTCAGTTAGTCAATGAACACTAGCTTATTATAATTTTTGCCCCCAAATGCCCTGGTACGGCCGAGAGTGCCCACGCGTATATACCTTTTGTCAGGGAAGACCTAATCACTGTCTCCTTGTGGCGGGGGTGTTGTTTATGAAATTGAGAGGACGTAAAGCGAACCTCCGGCGCTTTAACTAGGTCAATAGGCACGAAGAATCCACCTAGGGGAGTTGGGAAACCCTGATTTCAAACCAATGATGCACATGGGCTCCAGTATCCTGAAAGAACAAATGGCGTATAAACTAATCGTTGATAACCGCTACCATGGGACTACATCTCCTTACGATGCTCTATTGTCTTGTGGTTCAGACCTTTAGGTCGAAGCCTCCGGATGTGGTCCCCTAAGAAAACCACCCGCACAATATCACAGCTCTCACACAAATCAAATGCGATTTATGTGGTGCATATGTATCTGGTGCCCACTTGTACCAATATTTATGTGCTGAAATAAATAAATGTTAGACACTATCACCACTGGATGCCGGCTCAGTGGTCCAGTAGGTCAAGCGTTCGCGCGCGAGACCGAAGGCCCTGGGTTCGAATCCCGCCAGCAGATTCGTGGATCCGCGCTGTTTAGGAGTCCCACAATAGGATGAAACGGCCATCCAGTGCTTCCAGGTTTCGAAAGGTGGTCTAACATCAATCGGTCCATGATCTCAATCAAAATAGTAAAATATTTTAATTTACATTGCATTTTCAATATAGAAAAACTAGAGTTAGGGATATTTATATATTTATATATGTATCATTATACTTTGAGTGAATTTCCTCTCTTTCTCTCTCTAAAAATAATAATACTAAATAAAATTTTTATTTTATTGAGTTTCATATTAAAAACTAAAGGAAACATAAAATCAAATACTATTTATGATCAATTATAGGAACATTATTTTTTTTAAAAAAAGGAACAAAGTGAATTACAAAGGTAAAATAATAAATGAGAAGAATAAATGTAAAGTAATAACAATACCACATATGCATAGTATGAATCGAATATGATAAGTTATGATAAAGATATACTACTATTACTACTACTACTAATTGAAATGATAGTTGAACTGGTTTAGAAGAAGAAGTGATCAGTTTTATAACAATCTTATATAATGGTTATTTTCCAGTTTACATTATATATATATATATCCCTTACTGTAACGAATATTTAGCTAAAGTATAACTTTTTAAAAAAGTTATTTTCTTTTCAATATTTTGTCATAGTGTTATGTCCTGTTGTGTGCGCCAAATACAAGTTGAACGGTACGTAAAATAGTAATGATAGTAATATATATATAAGTAGTACAATTACTAGTCTTAAAAATACAGTATACAATGTTACAGTAGATCTTCTTTTTTTATCCCGTAATGGTTATAAACAAACATGTATATGTATTTATAAATGCGCACAAGTCAACTATAAAGAAACAAATATATACCATTTGAATTATTTAGCGTGCAAAGACAAGAAAAAATTAATCATTAGGTCACTCTTTCATCCGAGAAAAAGGAAGTCATACACTTGAACACATTAAAATGAAAAAAAGTAACCGTAATATAACAAACTGATTATTAATATTAATATTATTATTATTAAGATTGATTGTTTTTCTTTATGTGGTATTCTCTTCAGGGACTTGTTGTGAAAGTCGACTAATAAAATGTGTTTTACCCAATGGTCGATCATAATCTTCCATTGACATTCGACGATTTAATTGCATTGGTGTTTTTTGTAATTTTAAATTGCTTACTAAATAAAACAAAATGAGAATGACATTAGTTGATTAGTTGAAAAGTGATGCATATTTAACGATTAAGGTTATGTAAAGTGAGTAAATCTTATGAATAAAACACATGAACGAAAGTTCTCTAGTTATTGCTCCTTTTTAAACGATAAATATTTGTCAAAACAGTAATGATACAATCTTGATAGGTAGATGACTCGATTTATGGTATATTTCTATGCCAATACAGAGGGTTTGTGGAGACTGTTGGGTAGTTCTAAACCTGAAGGTTTCGGGTTCGATTAGCAGTAAGGCCGTGAATGAGCCCTATTCTGGGGTTAGACGACTCTCTAATAGTTGTCTAACTTAGGTCGGTTCGTGATAAAAACTAGCTTGTACTTATGCACACCATTCAACTCGTTTGATAAATAAATAAAATCATAATATCCAAACTGCAGAAGAAGTTGCTTCACTTTTGCAATAGTCACGGTAACTATTTGTTTTGTTTTAGTGTTTAAGTCAATAACATTTATGATAAATCACATCAGATAGATTATGTCACTTACAAATGACACAAACCACGAATTTGGTTTGAAAATAACCTCACTTTAGGTATGACATATATAAATGAAAGGACAATAAACTGACGACTACATCATTGGTATATTTCCAGATACTAGCCAAAAGTTTCGATTCGACAATTTGTGAAGACTGTTAAAGATTTAGCAATGAGATTTAATGACAACTCCTTTTATGGCCCACATTAAGTTCTTCTAGTCTCTTAATCTGCATACTACCTTTAGGTCACTTGGACAAGGTTCAAACAGAGTCTATTTTTGCAATATTATGGAGCAATTATTTAGCATAATTGTTGATATCTATCTCACCCGCTAATATGATTGGAGGAACAAAAAGTTTCCGGATCTCTGTGAAGTCAATTCACAGAGAAATTTGAATGACCAAAACGTATCCATTTCATCAGCAACAAGAAGGTCTATACTTCCCAATATGGTACAGATAAACAGTATTTTTATCTGCTTTTCTCTGTCCTTTTTTATCCTGAACGATTACTATACAACACATCAAGTGTTATTAAGTTAATCACTAACAACTGACATGGATACCTATTACTAAATGGTTTGAATTATCTGACATTCAAACATAGTTCACATAATGTCGAGTCACTTAAAATAACGTTAGCATTATAGTTTGATAAATAGAATTTGATAATGACTACGAACTAAATAGTTATGAAGTTGGTTTCTACTCGGCAATTATTTAGCAAAATTATCTGGTTATGTTATAAGTGAATTTTCACTTCACTCACTTCTGTTTATCTTTATTCGTAAATTTAGAATTCTAGGCGAAACTAAACTGTGATAAAATGGCTATGAAGAGCAAATCATTACAGTATTCACACATGGCAACAAAGGTTGATCATACTGAAACTTGAATGTTAACAGAGAGATATTTTAAGCTCTTGTTGATAACGATAGGAAAATTATTGAAAATGAATGAACCATGAATGACTGTTTCGTTCTAATTTAAAACTCCTTAACGATTAGCATCTGGAGTCTTAAAAGATATTATGATTAGGATATTTAGCTCTTTAGTTGAGGACGATATTAATTAAATCTGTGAGTACGACAGAAAAGACAGATACATGTCAGTTCGATTTGTATAAAATTGTTCACGGCTTTCCAACATCCAATATTTACCACCGAAATTTCTAAGTTTAAATAAAAACACTTATCGACTTTCTATATTCCCGTATAGTCAAACTCTGAATTCATCTACCTTATCGAGACACATCTACATATTTATGTATATGACTTACATAATCCGATTCCTTGTAAAAAGTATTGCATACTGTCGACCACCTTATCCGGCTAAAGTTTTCAACGTAAACAGAAAGAAAAAGTCAGAAAAAAGATGATTGCATGTAGGCATAACTCTACTTAGTAGTCAATACGTTTATATATATATATCAAATGACTGGATGCATTTTGTCATTAGCTTTAAAGTATTCACGGTCACTTATATACAGATGTAGTCTAAGAAGTTGAATTTGTCCGTTTCATCTAATTCATTTCTCTCAAACAATTTGAACAGGTGAAAAAACGATAATGTTTTCAGAATACTAGATATTTCATAGTTTTCTTCCCCATTGAAAGCTTATAGTATTTTTTTTCTTTCTATTTATTAGCGACTTATCGTCGGTCGGATGTACCTGCACTGTAGTACTTTTGTTCGTACTGTAGCCTGAAACCAGTGCCTAACAAAATGGAATGTGCTTTCTCGATGACATAACAAGTCGCACTCTAAAAATACAAAAGCATTTTATTCATGTTCCGAATAAATATAGTGTATACTGAGTTACAAGAACTACCTTTTATATTACGCGCATTCACCAATGTAAAACTTTATCACCTTCCAGTTGTTCAATAATAGAATCACATTAAAATATTTGTTTTTCGAATGTATACTTTGATAAAGTCAGTTGATAATTACATTCAATAAGAAACAATAATGAATTATAAATTTAACAGTTCTATATTGTTAAAGAATGAATAAATATATTGTTTACTTGAATAATCAATAAATATTACTGATACATATAGACTTACTCTTTCAGTCAGAACATTTGATACATCATCAATCATTACAAATTCACTTGAAGCTGATTGACCACCAGAATCACGACGTATTTTTTCAAGATCTTCAAATAATTGACGACATTTTTTATGATGTGAAGCTAAAGCTCCTGTGATCAATAATACAGGACATCTGAAATATGAAATATTAAAATGAACATTGAAACAATCTTATAGAAAAATGAGAATATACTTCTTTTAAAGTACAATCATGTGATTCTAATTTTATTAGTTCTAACAATAGAATGATAAATAGAGAGAAAACCTTTTAATGTAGATAAAAATATGTCGTAATGAAGATAATATACACAAATTGGTTACTTAAATCCTAGTTAATTGGAATGATTAAAAGTTGCTAATAAGACGGCAACTGACCAGTTATAATTCAGTCAAGATTAAAATAACAGCAAACCGTATTATACTTTTATTTCTTTCAGTGGTTTATTCTTATTACATTAACGTCAACAATGAGCACAAGAAAATATCCCCAATGTTATTAAGTGATAGGAGCTGTACCAGTGGTGCAATAATCTGATATTCGTAACAACATCTAAAGGACCTGGATTTGACTGTGGGTGGGGTCAATGGTTCTCAGTCAATTCTAGACTAGGATAAGACAGCTACCCATTCAGTCAGTTAGCAATAATGTAGAACTTCGTATGTACGTATATCGGTTCATTTTGTCTTATAAGACAGCTATCCAATGGTTTCTGGTTTTTAGGAAGACCTTAACTGTTATAACTTGTCAGTTGAATGCTACTTGTTAAATCTGGTCGTCGCTGATTGTTGTGTTGGAAACGCTTATCACTTATGCTCGAAACCAGGGACCTCGGCAATTCTCACGACGCGAAAGTAAGAACACAAAGACTGTAATAAGTGAAAGATTTATTGATTCCAAAAGCACGACGACGACGACGACGACGACCCTAGTCAAAAATACATTCATTTATATAGTGATTGTACACACAATTTGATTAATAATTAGAACGAAATCACATACATAAAAAATACTCAGTTATGACAAATCAAATGCTGGGCATAGTTCATGTCAATTGAATACAAGAACATCTAATGTTGTACAGAATATAATATCATACGGGAAAATGAAGCAAGTACTACACTGAATGATTATCACATTGAATCAGAACGGAAGTAATGTTAAACTAAACTCATAGTTAGTAAATCAATTGAATTTGGACTTTCTCGTCCCTGGTTTTTAGTAGGACCCTAACATAACGTGTTTAATACATTTTCCATGATAATATCATGATATGTATTCATTTTAAGAATATTGTAATTCACTTTTAGAATATTCTCATTGAAACTTACTTTCATCATATTATATTCTCAAGTAGTCAAACATGTATACTCAAGTGGATAATAAAGACTTTAAAATTATGACAAATTTGGCGAGACTATAATTTATGGAAAACCAATCGGATCTAAAATAACGGATCTTGGATTTTGGAGCGAAATTCATTCGCTCATTCGTCTAAATAACGTCTTGACATGTAAGCTGATGTCAGTTCGTAATGAAAACCATAAATCTAAATCCTAACCCTTACCATCAACTGTAAATTATTATCTTTATTCCTTAAACTACTTTATAGTTTTCATTTATCCCTATTAAGTAGGTAGACACTCTCAAGGTGACTTTGGCGTCACTTGAACGTCATTCATCAATTACAGTCTCACCGCAAAGTTTACTACAATGTCACCGAATTCTAAACTAAACAATTCAATTTTATAGCTTATATCGATATTTTAAAATTATCTAATAAATAGGATTTTCAGTAGTTGAAATCATGAGCCAATTGAAGCTAGATCACCATGGAAAACCTGGAAGCACTGGAAGGCCGTTTCAATCTAGTATGGGACTCCTCGGCAGTGCTCATCCACGATCCCGCCACCCGCGAGATTCAAACCCAGAACTTATGTCTCGTGGGTGAGCGCTTAACCACTAGACCACTGAGCTGGCCAACAACAAAGGGCACACCATTGTCTTCAGTGAGCTGACATCTCACAACAGACCCGGTTGAACTCCACTCGTCACGGCTTCTCACTAGAACTCCAGGAAATGCCTCTTGAAGTCAGTCAGTAGTGAGCAGACGATTATTATCGGAGAGGGTTTTGTGGAGATTTTAGTAATTTCCATACTCGATGCGCACTGCTCAGGAGTCCCATACTAGGATGAAACGGCCATCCAGTGTTTCCAAGTTTTTCATGATGGTCTAGCTTCAACCAACTCATGATTTCAACTATTGAAATTACTAAAATCTTCACAAAACCCATTTTGAAAATAGGATTTTAACATATTGAATGAACTAATTATTTGACATATTAGTTCACTTCTAAAATTGTTAATTAATATACCCTAAGGTTAACCTTCAATACAATATGTAATTAAGCAATTGCTAATAGGATTAGAATGAATCATTTATTTAATCAAATTTCGAAAGTAAATAAAATTAGTAAGATCAATCTTAGAATATCAGTTAAATGAATTTGAAAAGATAAAGCAACTGCTTAGAGATTAAAAAATTTGAATATAAATTAGGTAATTTAAGTAACCAATTATTTTTCAACAGTTGAGATCATGAGTCAGTTGAAGCTAGACCACCATGCAAAACCTGGAAGCACTGGACGGCCGTTTCGTCCTATTATGGGACTCCTCAGAAGTGCGCATCCACGATCCCGCCCCTCCTCGCGAGATTCGAACCCAGGACCTATCAGTCTCGCGCCAGGCGCTCAACCAACTAGACGCTGAGCTGGCCGGCATCCAACGGTGTCAATGTCTAACTTCAACCAATCCACGAAACTCATTTAGAAAATCAATGGTAAACTTTATATCCTATTGGGATATTTGAATTTCTTTTATTTACATAATATAGAATACTTATAATTAATATAAATTTATTATACTTATTTTGAAATGTATTCTTTATGTTCTAATAAAACGGTAATGAATATTGGAGTTTGGGTATATCGTGAATGAAACTATCGTCATGGACATGTATACCTAATGTTCTTGATATATTATTGTGTGAGTTACTTATATCCACATAAGTGGTATATCACAGTGGTTAAGCATAGAATGTATTTCAGTAGAAGATCGATAAGGAAAGAACGAGAACGGAATGCAATGGATATGAAAATGCATGAACTATGTAATCTGAGACAATGGACTGATATTTGCAACAGGAAAAGTCATGGTTGGTATGATGGATTGATATTTTGCAAATTAACGATCTACTATATGGTTCTCAGATTTTATTGAAATGCTCGGTTGTTTCGCGTCGAAGGTATTCAGTTGTCCCCATTCGTGTTTTTGTTCACTACTATGCGTCTAATTGGTTAGAGTCTCAAATATCTGTCTTCGGTTATCAATATGATGGTCCAGTGCTTAAGAACTTACTGAAGGGACTGAGTTTGATCACTAGCGAGACTGTAAGTGCCCGTTCCTAAAGAGATCTACAGTTAGATGACGCAGTTGATCAGTGTCCCTGTTTTTCAGTAGTTTTTAAATTGGATATCATTCATCCATTTTGTTTGCCGAGTATCGTACGCTAAAGTATTTATTTTCTCCTTGTATTATTTATAAATAATTCACCGGTTTTAAATGAGTCACATTATAATTTACCAACTGGTTTACTGACATCAGATTATGAGTAAAATTTAGGGTACAAACAGATATCACCGCAATACTTCGTTAACGGTTTACCTTTCTATGGGTCTACGTGTTTTCAAGTATAACTTGAACAGGAAATCAATTGATAAATGAATGATTATATATAGCAATTTCACAAGTAAGTTAACACAAATATAAGTAGCATATGCACACAATATGTTAGGTTACGAAACCACAAATATATTTTACCGCATGTGATATTTTATATTATAGATAAACATTATAAAGTACTTACTTTAGACTGGGAAGACTTTCTGAAAGGTTTTTACGCCTGTAAATAAATAATGATCATCATAGAACATTAGTGATTCATAGGGGTAAAATGTCGCGTAATTATAAATATTGATAAGATATCAAGACAAAGAAATATGCTTCATATAATAACCTATCACTCAGTCTGTGGATTGGTTTGTCATTGTGATTATCTCAAGATTCCTCATATATCTTGTTGATAAATGTCTACAAAGAGGAATCATCGATCAACCAACAGCATTCAAACAATCACTTAAACAACAAACATCTCAGCTCTGTTTGGGTTTGAATTACTAATGAATTATGAAACGTTCCAAGCCTTTAAATTACAATGGATATTTAACACTATCGGTAAAGACGAGGTATGGTGGCTACATTATAACTTGGTCGATAGGATTCGATATACACTAATAAGGACTTTACACACATAACATTAATCACCACTCAGTGATCAATCAATTGTAAATATACTTCAGTCCTACAGGAGGTTAGTCATGGACCAGATAGGTCAGTGGCAACGTCTCTGACTGTGAAGCTGGGTGATGTGAGGTCGAATCCGTAAGAGAGCATCAGTTCCCTCAAGATTACAGGTACACCTTGCTGACAAGTGCCAAATAGCACGAAACCTAAGTCCTGGGTTTCATGTTGACTACCTTCAACCACCATCTTAGTATGCGTATTCATTCACAAGACAATAAAGGATTCTTCTACTCTATAACTAAACTATGTACCTATTTCTAAATCGAAAGTTTAAATTGGGCTCTAATTCAAACTCTAATTTCCAAAAATTCTGATTGGATAGAAATGAATGACTAGCTGCTTATTATCAGTAAAGTAAACTTTCATTGATTAAATATGTATGGCAGATTGAAAAGTCACAATAAAAATGGAATAAATTAATGAATAACTTTTAAATGGGTGTATAAAAGAATAGAATAATAAAATAATTAACATTTTTAAATTGTTCGATTGTCTTTTATCAAAGTAAAGAAGAATATAAACATTTGGTTACCATGGTTACCAACAACTAATAATTAGGTTTGGATGAATTAAATTAACGAAACTATCTTGACACAGAATAACTACGAATTGTTTCAAATTCAGTTTAATTAAATAATTTAGAATATAAATTTATTTTTATATGTAAGCGATTTTTCGAAAAATTCGATCAGGAAGATCTGACTTTTCAGTAATTATACGAGATTCTTTTTGTGATAGGTCAGTTAGTCATTTAATACAGATTAATATAGATTAGATCAGAGCGCATTGCTGAGGAGTCCCAAACTAGGATGAAACGGCCATCCAGTGCTATCGGGTTTTTCATGATAGTCTAGCTTCAACTGACTCATGAATTCAACCATTAAATTACTATAATATCCACAAAATCCCTCTCTGCTTATAATTATCATATCTTCACTAGTGACGGTCTTCATGAGGTATTTCCTGGAGTTCTACTGAGAAGCCGTAATCAGTGGGGTTTACCCGGGTCCGTTGTGAGATAGTAACTCACTGAAGACAATGGTGGATGTGTCGCTCAATTTGGTGGATTACTTGAAGTTATTCATTAACAACATTGGATGCCAGCCAGCTCAGTGTCTAGTTGGTTAACCGCATGACGCGAGACTGATAGGTCCTGGGTTCGAATCTCGTGATGTGAGAACTTGGCAACGCACTACTGAGGAGTACCACACTAGGTTGAAATGGCTGTCGATTGCTTCCAGGTTTTCCATAGTAGTCTAGTTTCAATTGGCTCAGAAATTCAACCATTAAATTACTATAAAATCCACAAAATCCCAAACTGATTATTTTAAATATGATACCAGTTTTCAGTTACTAATTGACTTAGGTAGGGGAATGAGTGAAAACAACAGAGAACTGAGGTGTTTTCAATGGGATATAATTTGAAAATGCGTTTGAAATATGTTCTGTATCATTATTTGTGAAACAAACAAATTGTCATTAATGTAACCAAGTTTTTAATCAAAAGTTTAATATGCTCTGTGTGATCACTTTTCTGGAAGTAATGGAACTGATGAACAAATCACTTTGCTTGTTAATTACTTCAGCCAATATTTTGTACAGTGATGAATACATTTATGTCTCCCGAAATCACTTTATATACTGAATGGTTCCAAATGGGATTCCTAATCTCTCTGGCTCAAAGATATCATTAAACTATTACTTTGAAGCCAGACATTTATCAACCAAATTTTGTCACCAAATGAATGAACAAACTGCATAAATGTCTTTATTTTCTGTCTTTTATTATTTTAAATGAGTACTTAGATTAACTTCAAGTTATAAGTGACTCAAATACATTATTTCCATTCCATAAACGTCTGGTTATTCATTCTAATATCTAAAAGAATAAAAGTGTGCTGAACTTAAAAATTCCTAATTCCATGAAGACTTTATTATGATGAATTGACTGACTATACATAAAGCTAAATAGGTAGGAAGAAAAATTGCTAGCTACACCTTAACATAATTGTAAGTAATAGATGTAAAATCTGTGTATTATGGCACAGAAACTATAAACGTTTTCAGACTCATTGTAAAAAAATCTACCAGGGAAAACCACGAAAACCAGTCTTATCAATATGTAAATAATCTGGATGTTGATTGTTTTCATTACTGTCATAAATGATTATCTGTTATTTTTTATTTGTCAGGTAAATACCATTCTTTCGTGTTTTACTTCCTTTTCAATAGGTACTTGAATAATTAGCGATTGATGACTACTTGGTTTCTAAAAAGATTATAGGGACATTAACATTTACATTAATTTTTTCTTTTTGAACTTTCGGACACAGTTTATTCTTTTTTGGGTTATTAGCAGTGCTCATATAATTTTCCTTATTAAGTGCATATTGTTAACTTTGAACATTTTTATATATGAGTATGTGTTTGTATGTGTATCTGGATTACTGGTCATTCAGTTGTATTTGATATATTCTATAAGTGATATAAAAGCGAACTCATACATAACTCGTTTATTGGCTAATGATGGTCAAATATCACACAACGAACATCTACTCATATTTACCATCTATTTACTTGCATAAGAAAGCCTGAAATAAGCTCTTCTATAACATTTCTTATTTGGTTTTTATGACCACTGTTTCACAGTAGGGTAAACCCAGTTCATTATGAGGGATTTATATTTCATTCATCATCATTGGGATTAATTGAGTCAACGCGAGTGCCGATAATACGTAAAGGTTTGATATATTCCAATTAGACAATAATAACAGTAGGAATATGTTACATTGGACTGAAGTAAAGTCCTAATCAGAGACATTATACGATTTTTGTTCAGAAAAATTAATCTTCAGAAACTGAGAGATAGCCCATGATCTAGAGTTTGCACTCTAAATTATACTTCATCGGTGCATGTTTGTAAATTTAAGAGAACTGGCGTTCCTTTGTAAGATTCATGTCTCGGTTGATTAGCTTCAGCTAATAATAGTCAATCTCTTATTCTATCTTACAGTTGATCAGATCCTGTCAATTCTATGAATATCATAAAATTTGTTATCAGTTTTAATTATGAAACAAGTTGAAGCTTCTTTTGAATTATTAAACTACCATGCTGATTGACCAGGGTTTTTTTGTTTAATTAAATACTAATGATAGATAGTTTTCGAAAAATAGTTTCTTTGATGTAATAATTAAATTTACTAACTATTACATAAAATGTTTCATTTGTAAACTTTACGGCCAATGAATAATCCATTTTCTATACGAAATATTTGATCAGTTCATTGATTATAGAATCTTTTTGTTTATAATAACAAATAAGTGAGACTATAATTTATGGACGACCTTTGAGAGACGCTAAAAAAATCTTGAGAATGTCCTTCTACATTACTCACTTACTTATGCCTGTTACTTTTCGTGTAGGAGAATAGGCCGCCCACCAGCACTCTCCATTCAACCCTATCTTGGGCAATCCTTTCCACCTCTTTCCAGTCGTTATTCATCCTTTTCATATCTGCTTCTATTTCCCAACGTAATGCGTTCTTTGACCTTCCACTCTTCCGTTTCCCTTCAAGATTCCAAGTCGGGGCTTGCCTTGTGATGGAGTTTGATGATTTGCGTAATGTATGTCCTATCCATTTCCATTGTCTTCTAATTTCCTCTTTAGCTGGAAGCTGGTTTATTCTCTCCCACAAAACGCTGCTGCTGATGGTATCCGGCCAATGGATGTTGAGTATCTTGCATAGACAACCATTTATAAATACTTTTACCTTCTTGATGGTGGTTGTAGTGGTTTTCCAAGTCTCAGCTCGGTATAGTAGAACTGCCTTGACGTTCGTATTGAAGATTCTCAATTTGATATTGGTTGAAAGTTGTTTTGAGTTGCATATGTTCTTCAATTGTAGGAATGCGACCCTTTCTTTGCCAATTCTCGTCTTTATGTCTGCATCTGATCTTCCTTGATCATTGATGATGCTTCCCAGATACGTGAGGGATTTCACAACTTCCAGAGTTTCTCCATCAAGTGTGATTGGGTTGGTGTTCTCCGTGTTGTATTTGAGGATGTTGCTTTTTCGTTCATCTACATACTACGGCCGAATGAAGGTTATAATCCGATGTAAAGAATTAGGACTAATATTTACAGTTGATAGTTAGGGTTAGAAATCATACATAGGGTTTTAATCATGAATTAACATCAGTTATGATGGCAAAACTCTATTTAACCAAATGGGTAAGTGAATTTCGCGTCAAAATTCAAGACCCATTATCATAAATCTGATTAGTTCGTCCATAAATTATAGTCTTGCCAATAATAAACAATACTAAAATATGTAGTTGATTAAATAGTTTAACTGTAAATGATAATAGAAAACTATTTCGATGATTAGTTTCAATCATATCTAATCCCCTTTTCTTTCCATATTACCATAGAATAGATGAAAACTATTTATTCACTTTATACCATAATTAATGTAATCATGAATTTAATTTAATTTATTAGAATAAATAGTAATTAATTTATCATGCAAAGTGATTGTGGTATACTGTACTGACTTCATGAATGTAATTAATTTGTCATGAAATGAGGAGAAAAAAGACTGAAGATATAATGTAGAATTTTTTTTAAAAAAACATCTATACAAACTAGAATATTCGCTAAACGAAAAAGGAGAGGAACTCTATCAAAAATATGACAATAAAATGATCATAATTTCAAACATAACATTCAAGGTGAGGCTGACAACCAGATATGTCATCACACTTAGTGACATAATCTGTGTGAATGTTTTTGACTGGTTATCTCCTAGAGGTGGTTTTTTTGAAAATTGTAAATGGTGATTTGTATTATGTCTATGTTTTTCACGTAAAATATTTATTCATGTGAGATAAGGAATAAAATTTAACAAACTAGTCCACTGAATTCATGATTTTAGATTAAGTAGTTTCTAACTGTATGCCTATTGATTCCAGAATGAACTATATTGAACAAGTATACATATTATAAATGGTTTTGTGAATATTTTAGTTATTTTAATAGTTGACATCATGAGTCAATTGAAACTAGACCACCATGAAATACCTGGAAGCACTGGAAGCAGTGATCAGTGGAGTTCAACCAGGTCTGTCGTGAGATAGTAACTCACTTATGACAATGGTGGATGTGTCACTCAATTCGGTGGATTAGTTGAAGTTGGACATTAACACCGTTGGACGCCGTCTCAGTGGTCTAATGGTTAAGCGACAGTGGTAAATCCTGGGTTCGAATCTCGTGAGGTGGGATCGTGGATGTGCACTTCTGAGGAGTCCCATAATAGGACGAAACGGTCGTCCATTGCTTTCAGATTTCCCATGGTGGTCTAGCTTCAACTGACTAATGATCTTAACTATTAAAAAGCATATATATATGTTTACAAAAAGGAGTAAGATAAATCTGACGGCAATTAAAATTTTATAAAACAAAACTAACTGCATATATGATGTGATAAATTTGTTTAAATTTTTCGGATTAATTGAATGACGCAAGTTTTGACGAAAACTTTCAACAGCATTGCGTAACTCCACTTCACTCTCAGTTTCAACAACCTAAAAGAAAGGAATAAAAAAAGTTTATCACAGTATAAAAAAGAATGTTAAACAAAATACTTATTTTATGATTATGAACACGATAGCATTCACAATTTTGTGCGTTTTTCTTTTTTAGCAATTATTAGCATTTTCAATGGTTAAGATCATGAGTCAGTTGAAGCTAGACCACCATGGAAAACCTGGAAGCACTGGACGGCCATTTCGTCCTATTGTGGGACTCCTCGGCAGTGCGCATCCACGACCTCGCCCCCTGCGAAATTCGAACCTAGGACCTACTGGTTTCGCGCCCGAGCACTTAACCATTAGACCACTGAGCCGGCATCCAACGGTGTTAATGTCTAACTTCAACTAATCCACGAAATTGAGCGACACGTTCACCATTGTCTTCAGTGAGTTACTACCTCACAACAGACCTGGTTGAAAAAAACCCATCTGATATTAATTATTAGTATGCTTAAGAAGTATGTTAAAGCCATAATTTTTAGCATTTAGAAGAGAATAGATAGGGGTATTGTCTTATAATAATTTAATATGAAAGATTGTATATTAGTATGGATTTTGTAGAGTTCGATTAGTATTACTTTTAGATCAAACTTACTGGATATGATTTATGAATAGTTTAACTATTTCAATTAGTAAGCATTTTAAACTCTAATGCATAATATCATCTTTGTTTAATACATTGAAGCTATAAGCTAACAAGTCACTGTCCCGATAGCATCATTCTTGTCTTTAAACCTTAATATCTTGGATGAAATCTTACGTAAGTAAACAATAATAACAACGAAAAAGCTATTGTATCACTCATTATTTTTTTATTTCTACTTATGAAGATTTCATATCATTATGAAAAATACTGCATGATTAAAATGTACACATGAATATGATACAGGTTTACATGTATCCAGGCAAATGTTGTTGTTCTTTTTTGCACGAGTTACTGATGACCTAAATTTTTATCAAGAAAAAAATGTTCTTTCCTCATTATAGTTCATTGATTCAATGAACTAAATTTTTGTAATCATTATTCAATGTAATTAGGTTAATGAGCTAATTTCATTAATTTATTAATATTGAAAAAAGAAATATCAAAAAAATAAATGAAAGTAAATAAAAGACTAATCTTTGAATGAAGAATATTCTTTTCGATCAATTCTCTTCAGGTTCTACAATTCACATATATCCAAATTAATAAACCGGAAAATGGTCAGATTAAGGGCAATGTACATTGTGAATTTAGGATTGAGATAAACAAAATACAATAAAATTGTTAATGTTAATATGATTCATAGAGAATGTTGACTTGAATTTGCATATATGTTAAATGAATCGTAATTGCACTATTCTTTCTCTTATTGTTGGGGACGTTAGATCCCAAGAACTCACTTGGGAAAGGACTTAATTTTGTAATTTTATTTAGAAAATTTGAATTTCTTTGTTTTCGCGCCAAAGGCGCTTTTGTCACCTTCATGTCGTATTTCCCACTGGGAGATATCTTAAATGCTATTGGTCCGTTGTGTCTTTTAGTATGCTATTTGGTAACTCTCCCCAAGGACGGTTTTTTTACTGTATATATATATATATACGTTTTAAATTGTGTTTGTTGTTATTGCTCGTTTCTGGCTGTTTGCAGAATGTACTTCCCATTCCAAGCTTGGAATTCTCGCTCTAGTTAGAGGGGCTGGGAAGCATTAATAGCTAGCTTACTGGTCTTTGGTCACCGAGTCTTGTTTCTCGTTCGCAGATTAAGTGAACTCGTGATGGCTTCAACCCTGGCACTTATCTGATCCATATTTATTCTGATCATGGATCTTAAAATTTTCACTTAACGTATATACAGATTTAAGTTAACATTCTATATGAGTCATATTAACATTAACAACTTTATTGTATTTTGTTTAACAATCCTAAGTTTACATGCTTTAAACAATGTACTTTACCCTTAACCTGGCCATTTTCTTTGGATTATTAATTTGGATTATATAATAGTAGAACCTGAAGAGAATTGATCGAAAAGAATATTCTTCATTCAAAGATTTGTCTTTTAAGGTGTTGGGTATCTTTAAACGATTAGAAAGTAAATAAATCGTTTGGAATAATTGTAAATAAGATAATAATAATAAAAAATTAGTTTTTATTCTTTTCATTGGTAAAAAATAAACTTAGTTTCCAAGCTCGACAGTGTCTTTTTTTAATTGATATTCTAAACATGGTAATACCATTACTTATTACCCATAGTAGTAGTCACATTGTTTTTGTGTACTTTGATAATTTTTTTCTTCATTGCGACTTACCTTTAACCTGTCTAGTTGATCTTTTAATTTTCATATAAAATTGTCTTAACAAGTACATTGTGTGTGATCAGATTGTTCGAAATATACTACGCAAATATATATGACATAATTCTGATCATCTTCATCTCATTGCATTATTGAGATATAAGGTTATACTTTAGTTAAATATTCCTTTGTGGTAAAAAATGTTAATGAATAAATAATGTTTGATTAAAGTATAAATAAGTATTACCAGTAGTTAATTATGAATGTAATCTTATTCAGAGAGGAGGAGTGTACGTACATGAATATTTCTCCTAACTCAATTTTCTTTGAAACAACTAAACACTAACTTATCTCCTAAATGACTCTTTGATCAAGTATTGCATGTCATTGTATTTCAACGCACTTGACATGGCACTCAAAACTGAGGTTTAATGTTTGAAAATTTCTGTAATTTAGTACGGTGATATTAGGAACGTCTATGTTAGGTTTCTGATTTTGCGGCTTCCTATGTGTTAATTTCGAAATATGTTGGAAACATCATCATAATACATGTGTGCGATTTCATTTGAAGAACATTTGAGCTGAGGGAAATTCTTACATTGAATCAAACATAAGACTATCATAAATCATAGTTAGCACGCTATCAGTATGCGAAACATGTCAACAGTCAACATTCTCAATTCCGATTTTTGTCGTGATACCCTGTAGTTATGACCAATTGTCATGACTGGTATAGTATTAGTTTAATACGAGTATTCAGTCAGAAGATAGGTGTCTTGATTCGAGAAACTTTTCATTTCAATAAATGAGATGTACCTATATTCTTCCAAAGGCCTAAAGTCTTGATAAGTTACCGGGTCCGTAATTGACCCCTTATAAAATCTAGTCACTGCCTCATTGAATATGTGACCGACTTCATACGTCACAAACTGGCTTAGAAACTGTTTCGCAGCTAGTCTCAGTGTTTTCACCGTAATCATTAATTTTGTATAGATTTTTATATATTTTTGGGGTTCCATATTTAGTTGTGGTTACGACTTTGTGCAAAGCCGTAAGCTTACATGACATAGTTGTTTTGATTTACATAAATTGTATCATGTGTATAACTCAGTGTTATGAAGTGTTGACCATGAATAAGGTGCTAAACGATTAAATAGACTGTGAAAGTTTTTTCCATAGTTTATATAACCTACTGATGTCAGATTAATACCTTCTTGGTTTTCGTTGTTCTTTGAGTATAATTCATTTTGTGAAATAAACTGTGAATCAACTAACTTCCATGAGTATTCCATTAGTTATTAGCTTAGTAATAAATATCTTATCAAGTTAGAAATAATGTAGTTGTATCCTGATAAGTTTTGGTACTATTTATTAGTTAGTTGAGTATTGACAAGTCATTTTCATCAAGAAAAATCATTACATTAGACTATTCACATAATTAAATCTCCCCTCTGCTGCAAACAACCCAAACAGGGTGGTAAACAGTTTCTTTGTATTCTATAATCATAAATAATTTACTGTCTCATCTCATTTAGATTTAAATGGCATTTATCATAATCCAAAGAATTTTGTTCTAATTAATTCATTCAAATGTATCAACAAAAGAAAGTGAATTGGTTTAAAGTAACTGTTAACATAAAAAATTTGACATAAAACTGTGCTAATATCTAACTTACCGAACCGAAACGATGTACAATTAGAAAACTTTCAGTAGCTGGATTCATACCAGATGAGCTTAATTTCCAGTTCATTAACTAAACAAAATAGTAGATATTGGAATAGATCCATATTAAATATATTAAGAGGAAAGAGTACGATTAGTTTTACCTCAAATCATTGCAATATTTATGTAAATATTTATTATTGTTTGTTTGAAGTTAGTCAATATGAAATCCAGGAACTTGATTTCTTCAAGTCTTGACGTTTAATTTTTAATATTTTATGACAACATATATAAGGGAACAATATTGTCTTCGATTAGATCGTCATCAGGCTTTACTTTAATATACTGTAATAAAACGTAACGTGAAGACAATATGCAGCTCGGTTCTATCACACTTGATCTATGGCGGTCTTGTGGATAGAAAGTCATTTTAAGTTATTTATCGTATTCCTATTAGTTTCACTTATGGTGTTCGATCTCGTCTCTTACACATAGTAGAAGTTATAGGACTTCGAGCTAACAATCCAAGTCTTTGTGTTCAGATGAAATTTGTAACACCCTTATCTCTCCCTTGGTTTTAATAAATGAATTTATTTTCCATACTCTTTGTTCGTTTATTTTTCTTCACACTCACCTTTTTTTCTTTCTCAGATATACGTTATCTGAACACTCCTTATTACGTCGTCTTATAATTTTATAAATGTTATCTCACTGTCTACATGTTTTTCTAATCATTGACCTATTTCCGATTATGTTACATGGATTCAGACCTTTATTATTCTTATGACAACTAGTACACTTGTCATTACACTATCAATTTGTACTTTTCACTTATTCATGTAGTCTATTCCATTGTTGCCATTGCCTCGTAGACTACTTTATTTGGTTTAATAATTTTGCATTTGCATATAAATATTACTGTACATTAAAGTAAAACCTGATAGGGATCTAATCATCTCTTATAAGTGTCGATTATTTAAGAAATTTTATACATCTAGTTCTCTTTATCATTTTAAAAAAAGAGAAAGAACAAAAATTCTCTTAGAACATTCAGAGGAGAACCTACGAACTAAATTGAATTCATGCTATTCTTTTAGAATCTTTATTCTTGCTCTTTTCAAAATATTGATTAATTACCTTTTACAATTAAACAATTCAATCTCTAATTACTTGATTAGAAAACAAAATTAATAACTAATTATTATTTAAACTCAATCATTTACCCTATTATGTCTTAACTATAACATAACTAATAAATTCGTTCAAGTCAACGTATAATAACTCCGCTTGGAGTCCCTCCGGGGGCTACTGCTGGTCCCAATACCGGGTAAAGGAGGAGGGTCGGGCATGGGGTTAGCGACACCACCCCATAGAAAACTAACTCGCTAAACAAACGCTAACCAAAATATAATGTATAATGTGATTACATTGACAAAATGTATTGGTTGATTACATCATCATGAAATAAGTTTAAATTATTAAAAAAGAAGTGTCTATAAATAAAATTCAAATTGATTTCTTGCTTAAAATGTTACTTGTCCATGAACAGAAAAAGAAAAATCTTTTTAATACATTATATCATACATTATTTCAACATTTTTGTTTGTATTTTCCAGTGTCTGGGGATATATTTCAAGAAGTTTCTATGGTTTTGTTAGATATCTGTTTGATATTTTTGTTTTTATGATGTTTTATGATTTTCTGGCAATTTTTATACTACTTAAACTATCATGTCATTAGATAAAAACTGATATAAACTAAATACACCCATTAAGACATTCAATAAGAGAGATTAGTTCAGCGAAGAGTTCTCTTTTCGGCGAATTCATTTTCAAAGCTGTAAAATCGCAAATATGTATATTTATTTTTACAGGATGATAATAATACTGATAATAAACTTCTGTTAGACATGGTAACAGTGAGGTTAAATAAAAAAGGGTAATAAAAAATTCTTTTAGAAACAAGGAAAGTTTAATAAACGTTTGATTGTTAATGACTGAAGTATTCATCAAAAGATAGATAGGGAAATTACCATCGGGAAAGGATGGCTCAGCATGATAAAATAAAATGTTGAAACAGAGATGAAATGCAATCGGAATGATCGTGGAAATAAAAACAAATTAGTTGGGTGTAGAAGATTTAAAGGGAAGATGGAAGGTGAAGCGGATGGCTGTAAAGGAACAAGAGTATGAAAAAGAGAGAAAATTTTAATATATTAAGACCATGGTAGAAGAAGAGGTTGTACCAATATCTTCTGCACACACGATTATGGTTTTCCCAGATGTATGGCTATTGCTTCGGCAATGCAAAGAAGATGCAGTCTGATTGTTTTGGAAGACTTCTACTTACCTTGTAGATGACTTTGAACGTAGAGTCTGTCTTGATTGAATGACCTGTGTTCACAAAGTGTTCGATTATAGAACTTCTTATTGAGCCCTTGCCTCCTCTTTTTAGCCACGCCGGATAATGTTCTTGAATTCTTTTGGATAAAGTACGCATCGAATGACCTATATATCTAGCTCCACAAGAGCAGGTAAATAACTGATATAATTTTTTCTGAGATATAAACTGGCAGAAGGTTGAGAATTTCAACACGTAATCATCAACGTTTATAAGGTGTGTGTGGGGGGGGTCACACCTAACGATGGAATACGAGGTTCATGTGTAGTTACAAAATAGTGAAGATTTTCAAACTTAGACAGAGACTAGTTTCATAGTATTTAGTCGCCGAATTAATGTGAGACATTAAAGAGAAAGAATGTATATGTAAAATATCAGCGAATGAATTTTGGAGTAAATCCAACGTTTCACCTGGCAATTTGGTCCAAGCTTTTTCAAAGATATTTCCTTGAATTTACTTCAAAATTCATTCGCTGAGATTATACAGATTAAACAGAGACTGTTCTATATTTGTAAATATAGCTTCACTCTTTAGTAATGATCATTTTCAAGATATTCAGGATTTGAAAAAAACCCAGCGAAACAGTAGTCTCTTTTACTTAACTAATGGTTGAGTTATACATTTTCAGAATTAATACAGATCTTGGCAATTTATTCAATAACACTAAGTAGCTCCTAAAATGATAGATAAAGTATATAGTATGGATATTTAGTTTATCAATTACATTTCATCCATATGCATAAAATGATAACTATTACGTCGTATTTTATCTTTTAGTTGACATTTACTTATTACCTATTAATTGAAACATTTGATGTGTTGATGTTACTAGACTAAAATACACTGTTTTATTTTATTATTTCTTTTCAAAGAAATATTTTGATAAAATAACCACATGCTTATGCAGTTTAGGAGGTATAAATTGTAGTGATTGTCGTATTTTGATTATGGGAAGAAAAAAGTCATTAGATAATAGAATTGTTGCTGATCTTAATTTCTTTTTGAATTGTTTGTTTGAATCTTTACTGGATTCCATTACTAGTCACCAACTATCTTTGCTTATAATGTCCTTGATCTGTCTGTATATTTAAAGAAATTAGTCCCTTTGATAAATATCGATAATGCAATGAGAAGATGAAGATTATTAGAATTATGTCATATATATTTGTGTATTATATTTCGAACAATAGGATCACACATATATATTTGTTAAGACAATTTCATATGAAAATTTAAAACAATGTGATTACTACCATGCATAATAAATCAGTATTACCAAAGTAGGTTAAGTGTAAGCACAAATTGTTTTCGAACGTATAAAGGGGGTTTCAGTTTCCCTATAGACAAAGCTCCAATAAACCTTAATATACGTCCTTAAATGCTTTTGTACAAAACTACAAAGGTTGAATCGATATCAACCTTATGTCCAGTTTTAATCAAATGTCTCACAATGGAGGATGATGTCTGTCTATCCTGTGATCTTACATGACCATGTAAGTACGTATGTATTCATAGTTGGATAGAGAATGCTGATGAGCAACCGATGTTCCTTCATGAGGGTTAACAAGCGTAAGTTAATCAGTAACGTATATCGTAAACAAAAAAAACATTAATTTCATTTAATAAAATCCACTAATCATTTTTAAAATCTACACCTGGGTTTATTATTAATACTGATATCGAATATCAGGTCAAATATTTATCATATCAACCTGTACTACAATTTCTTACTGTTTTTACATTGAATATTAACATCTATATATATATCTAATTATCAGTCCCAATTAACCATCTGTTTATCAATATAATGAATACTTTATCTTTTCCTTATTTACTTTGTTATAAAACTAGGAAAATAGATTCAAACATGAAATTTCTTATCTAATAATAATTCCTTGAAAAAACTTGGACCAGCTTGTCAGAAGAAACGTTGAATTTACCTCAAATTGTTTCGCTGAAATTTTACAAGTTTATTCTTCCTCTATAATGCATAATTAAATGTTATGTAATTAAGAAAGTATTTTACTAATAAACATTTATGTTTTATAAATGAATTCATCATAATAATGATATCAATAGGTATATCATTGAAAATCTAAGAGTTGAGAATTCTAAATCTAAATATATAATTCTGTTATAAACTATAAACTAATGGTATGAGATCTTATTAGAGATCATTTTTTTGTTATTGAATGAAATCCGTTTATTTGTGTTGTCACAATGAACTTCTGCATTATAAATAGTATGATTTCGTTATATGAATGTTAACTCTAAAACTGGCCCCTTCCCCTCTAAATCCCAATCCTGAATACATAGCCGTAACTGTGAATAATGTGAAGAATTTTCGAAATTAATTTAGGTCCTTATATTGGGTTTAGAAAGCGGATAATCAGTATCTGTAAAGACGAATTTAAGTAAGCTTTTTTCCAATTTAAGGTTAGGATAAACTCTGCTTATCATTTACTTTGGCTCATCATAAACTATCCACTTTTTAAAGCAGTGTTTTTGGTTGGCTGATCATAAGTCGAAAATTAATTGCGCTAGTTTCAAGATCGTTTCTATACTATGCCATTGCTTTTTATTTAAGTATTAGTGTAATTGTAAATTTAACAACTGAAACATAATCTTTTCCAATGCTGTACAATAACGTAAATTCAAAATATCAAAGATGTGAACACATTTTATGTTCTGTACATTCTCTAGAACAGTTTAAGAATTTTCCATTTTCTTATACAATAAAGTAAATTGAAATAATATTTATATACTTAAAAAAATTACTTGAATACCCAACATGTATTCAGAATGTTATACAAACTTGAATATAAATTAATGGTACTATAGCGGCTCTCCTACAATTAATTTTGCCAGTGTTGTTCGAACATTAACAATTTGTCTACTACTTTGTATTATTACAGTTACTATCATGTTTGTATAAACGTGCATGCTTGATCACATATGACAACCTACTCACATAATCCTCATTTTAACTTAGATGTTAATCGCCTAAATATTGCTTGATGAATCATGTATAAGTGCTTGAATCATATTAATTGCGTTGTCTTGATTTGCTTCGCCTCGATTCGATTCAGTTCGACTCTGAATCCGGCTCACGCGCATTATCCTCTTTGCTCCAATTCGCCCAAAGTGCTTGTAACTTTGTTATCTGTGTTCTGTTCAGTAATAAATTATAATTGCCACTTCATATTGAATTCTGAATTCATACACCGTTGGGATTTGTTTAATAATAGTTATCAAGTTGATTGATAAACGAAGCCTAAGAAATTATCTTGGAGCCTATCTACCACAGTTTACTTAATTCTGATTTAAAGTGCCTCTTACAATAACAATAAGATTCAAATTAAGAAACAAATTACAACTATATATTAGCTATGTTAGGGGTGATATCAAGTGGTTTGAAAACACATGAATATGAATAGCAAAAGGGCAGCCAAAGTTATATAGAAAATAGTTTGAAAAAAATTCGATGAGTAAAACAACTTCATTACTTTTTCGATGATTCGATAACTATCTGTTTTATTATAGACTTGTATATGCTAATCCAGTATAAAGACGATTGTATAGCTATAGTAAATTACATCGTAGGGGAGGAGTTTTGTTTTCATTCAATGTTTGGAAATATTATGGTTGCATCAATTTTAAAATTTTATCAGGATTAAGGTCTAGATAAATATGATATAGGTGATCAGTGAATTTGCATATTTCAGCCCTTATGTAAGATCACTTTGAATAGTTGAATGGTTATATTTACAACTGTAAAGCTGAGCGGTATGGATGGAAATCTATTGGGTATTATCAATTTCCCAAATATCACAGGTTTCTATTGATGGAAAGTGTCAACTAACGTGAAACATAATTTTAAGGTTTCATGTCAACTGCCTTCGATTAAACAACATTGAAACTCCAGGACAGTGGAAACAACTAAAACAGTATCATGATATATGTACCTAATGCAATACAATTTCTACGTAAATTGATGAATGTAATTTGAAATAAAATGGCTCTCTAATTTTAATTTAAATGAAATAATTCATCTTGATTTCAGTGTGATAATCGAGGTAATCAAGAACAATTGAACACATTTAAAGCTAGTAGAGATATACATGTTTACATAGATTTGTGATGATAATTTTGTCAAAACGTACCTTTTTTATGGATTCTATGAAACGTATATCTTGTATTTCTATGTATATTACCTGAAGCATAATTATGTAACTAATTTTTTATCGATACTTAAGTGTTAGTAAACAAGATAGACTTAATAACTCACAAATATTAGTCATATCAGTATTTTTTTAGGGGGGGGTAATCACACTTCATAATCAGGAATAGAAAAAAAAAGAAAATTTGTATAGAAATGAAAAAATAACCTAATTAACTCGATAAAAAGGATTAAAATGTAAAACGAAAGGTAGAAAGAAACCTAGTTATTATTGGTTCTATAGATTTTCTGTAGATGTAGTCATTTAACAAGTAGATCATATCACAAAACTAACGTTAAGTAGAAAAAAGCTGAGAAATTCTATGTAAAAAGACTACTGAATAGTTTGTCAGTTTTCATTTAAACAAATTTAAGGAATATTTACCTAATAGCTGTATGTAAAATTTAGCTTAAGAGCAATGTATCCGATTGTGAGAACAATACGATTGATTTCATGAGTGAAAATTTCAAAGATCCATGCTCTTAACTTTAGTCAAGATGTGTTGTACATACCTCATTTATTATTTTTTATAAGTTTGTATTACTTACAAGTTGATTAACATAACGGCTTTACAATAGAATAATGATGTCAGTCAAGACTTGTTTTATTTTTATTAGTTCACAAAATAATGTCATTTTCGGCTGGAATGACCTGACAAAATGTTGAACATCTCATGAAATATTTATTTTGATGACTGTCATCAATTTCATAGTCATGCTTCGTAACTTGAGGACCGAACTGTAAAAGTATACATTACCTTACTAAGAATAGATGGTAACAATCTAGATACTAGGCTGTAAACTAAGTGATTTGCTTTTGTAAGTTTAGAACAGCTTATTTCACATTTAGTAACTGTGATATGAGACATTTTCGTTGCATTTTAAAGATTATTTTAACTTGATTAATATTAGCTTCATGCAGATATACAAGTTGTAAGTAGATGTTTATTATTAAGCGGTAATATTAAATTCATGTAAGACACCTCCATAAATTCAGGTAGATATTTAATATTTCACCGTGAAAAATAATAGGATTACAAATAATGAACTGTGAAATATGCCGTTCACTCATTTAGTGAGCTGATCATCTTTTGGGGGTGTTTTTAAATGTTGAAAATAAACTCAATAACACAATAAACTGTATATAATGTTGTGGGGTTGAAAAAAATCAGGGAAAACCGTATGTGAGATAGACTTCTATTATCCTTAGTACTGGCTTGCAAGATACATTTGTTATGAATTTATCACTAATCAGTTAATCAGTATAGTATCTGTCATTTCACAGTTATAATAGTAAATGTCCCCAACAGTAGTATATATTAGTAGAGTTTGTTAAGACTTTTAATGCTGAAATTAATTTTTATCAAGAACTAGAACAAGTTAGATAACCACCATTGTAAAGATTTTCAAGAGGATAAATCATCTAATCCATGCTTTTTAAGTGTTACCCATTTATTGTAGGTCCATTAAAAAAAATGAACTCAAAGTGGATCATTTACTACCAGTAAATGATAGGAAAAAACATTTTTTCTACAGAAAAATTGTGTTATTAAAAAGTAATCCTTTATTGTATTTTTATTTATTTTATTTTAATACATGAGTTCTAGTTCTAAACTGATTACTCACAAAATATAATAAAAATAATAATAATAGTATAAATAGTTACACACCCTGAGGATGTAGTTTATTCAACTGATGGTTCAGTTTTCAAATCTCCCTACTCTTGACATTTTTTCTCGTGTATATTATCTACTGATTATTGAATATGTGGTTCCATCGAATAATGATATTTTAATGTCAATTCTATACTCCGTTTTTTACAGGTTTGTTTTTACAAAACTTTTGTGGCTTTATTCATCTTTGAGTGTTTAAATTACCTTTTTCTTTTTGCATGAAATAACAATGTTTATGTTGTTTAAGTAAATATTTGTAAGTAAAAATTTGTGCTTACACTTAACCTACCCTGGTAATACTGATTTATTATGCATAATGGTGAAGATGTCACAGGTATTCGGAGTTTGACAACGCTTTAAGCAGTAACACCATCTAATATGAATCGTACACACCAAGTGAAATCAAAAGACAGAAGCGAGGAGGTTCGAATATGTATTTGATAGGCTATCGATATATCGAGGGTCGTCTGATCTAATCTGGCTAGCGATTGCAGGGCGTTGTTGAGCACGGCGTTCCCACTTGTGATCTGGCGCAGATGCATGACCAAGCGCCTTCAGCAGGTGAGTTCATTAAAACTAATATGGTCAGCATCCAATGTCGAAAGCTTACAGAGCTGTTTATTTTTGGGATTTACTTACCGCTACAGTGGTAATCATATTGCTTTTGTGTACTTTAATATTATTATTTTCCTTGTGACAGTTTGTCTTTAATCCGTCTTGTTGACCTTTTAATTTTCATATAAAATTGTCTTAACAAGTATATATGTGTGATCAGATTGTTCGAAATGTATTGGGGAAATATATATGACATAATCCTGATAATCTTCATCTTTTCATTGCAAATACTGGATTATGTTGTTATTCATCAGAATGATGGTAATAGTTTAGTGATAATATTAAAATATACTTTAAATGAAGTCTACTTACCTTATCTCTAAGTGACTCAGTAAATGTAGGCGGTGTTCCAGTACAGTTAATTAATATTGCCCCAAGTACAAGATTATCATAAGCAATCTGAAGAAAAGTAAAAATCAACAAACAAAGGAATAAAAATGAGAACGAAAAGAAACAAATACTTGATAAGACAATAGTACAATTTTACCATTTATTTTCTGAAGAGGCAATTTATACCAAGCCACGAAACATCAGGTTATATATTATAGATATATTACTGTTATTTTATTCAGATAAAAAAATTATTGAAAGCTAAACTTAATTTGAATTATAAAGTTGAACTTCGATAGTGGTGTTAAGAATCAAATAAATATTTAACATAAATATAATATATGCATGTAATGAAAACAGCATATTTTAATATCTAGTTTTAATAAATAGTACATTGATATATACATAAGTATATACGTATATGCGACTCCTCATGAGTGCTTGTCAAACACCCTACCATAGGTAATCAAACAAAGTACCTACAGTCTTGTGGCGAGAGTTTAACTTTTAAAGAACGGTGTGCATCTAATGCCGATCAGCTTTCAGTATTGGGGCACATCTTCCATCGCCTCTAATGGATAACTATCTCACATATGATTTGAATTAGCTCCACTGGTCACGGCTTCTCAAACTTGGTCACTGATGAGGATATGTTTACTGTTAGCATTAAGGCCTTGTATTTATTGTCGAATTTTCATTGTTTATATGATGGACTTATCTTAGTTAGACAACCACTGAAAGCCATGAAGCAATAGGCGGCTGTTTTGTTTTAGAACGGGATGCTGAACTGATGAAAGGGTATACCTGTAAGCAGAATTACCATTGAAGCTAATCGGTTAAGCAATGTTTCATGTTTTTAATATTCTGTTAAAATGTTTCTCAGTATCATATAAAAATTACCCTTCATCTATTATTTAAAATTAAATAAATAAATAAATTCTTTCCATTTATTCATTGAAGTTTGATAATTAGTGTGTAGAATATTCCACTGATGTTGGGTAAGATCTTAGAAGATTTTTTTTAATGTTGTAGTCATTCATTCAGTTAGAGTATCTTAGTCCACACAAAATTTAAAATAAGTTCAAGATAAGTTACAGTAAGCGAAGAGAGTGAACATAGTTTCCTCATTCACAAATCAGAACCCTACATACAGAGGAAATACATTTAGCCACTTCTGTTATCGTAGCCAACATCAGATCCATTAGGTCAATAATGATCGTGATGATAAAATGAATTAGTTTGATTAATATACATATAGTCTTCCCCTTATTGTATTTTCATAACTAAGGTTCATTTTATTCAAGTATAATCGTGAATAATATTTTACATATATCTTCGCATTGTTATCATTACAATTAACATTATTATTCTTTCAAAAACAGGAGTACTTTGGTTGCCATTCCCCCTCCCCACCAACGCTTTATTATGTTTTATTGAATTCATTTCACTTCATAAATTATGTAGTCCTTGGGCGAACATTTAATCTGAATTGCAATTACACTATTATTTTTTGCATGCTTAGATGGCTTTATTTATTCAATTTGTAAACTTATTCCAGTTATTTTAATGGATGAATTTATGAGTCAGTCTAAACTAGACCACCATTGAAAACTTGAAAGCACTGCACAGTCGTTTCGTCTCAGTATGGGACTCCTCCGCAGCACGTATTCGCGATCCTGCATGCCAAACTCGAACACGGATAGTAGACATTTCAATGTTACAAATTAATTTAGATTTGTAATTGTAGGACTTGGTGAGAATTTGCTAAAAAATATATTTTTCATCCAGTTTATATTTATTAAACCTTTGAATGACAATTTTTAAGCAAACTTCACCTTGGATTTCATCGTTTTAGTTTCTTTTAATTGGTGTATTATATAATATAAAATTATTTAGTGGATCACCAAATCGACATAGAATTGACGAACTGCTCCCTTTCGTAATCTTTCTAACAAATTACTTCCAGCGTTTATTATTCATTGGCGTAATTATTATGTAACGAACAGCAACACGAATACAAAATTACAGAGCATCTCAATAAAATCTGAGAACCATATAGTAAATCGTTAATTTGCAAAATATCAATCCATCATATCAACCAAAACTGTTCCTGTTGCAAATATCAATCCATTGTCTCACATTTCATAGTTCATGCATTTTCATATCAATTGCGTTCCGTTATCGTTCTTTCCTTATCGATCTTCTACTGAAATACATTCTGTGCTTAACCACCATGATATACTACTTATGTGGATATAAGTAACCCACACCACAATTATACAATATTAATTGTTAAATGAGAATAAATGATTGGTTTATTGTATCATTTTTTTAGACAAGAAATAAAACTTTTCATTCAATTCTCGAGCTTATTCATTACAATAATGATCAATGATTTGATCAATTAAAACAATCAGCAACTATAACAATGGTTATTTTACAAATGGAAGGTGTTTTATATTAATTAAAAAAATGCTTTCAGTTTACTTTTGTGTAGATTTTAAATTATATAGGTTTATTGTATTGTTAACTGTATACCTTTTTAGGGGTTGGCTTTTTCTCTTGTCATTATCTATAATGTGAATTTATAGAACAAAACGACTTGAACACTATTTCATACAAATAAATGACATGAATTATTATCCGGAAAATTTGAACATCTATTGGATTATTATCAAAATCTAAATTGGTAGAATTGTTATCAAATCGATTTTCAGTGATCCTTGCTTCAATATTTATCAGTGTTACCATAAATTTTTCAATATAAAACAGTCACAGGTTTGTCTATTCTTTATTTAACTGTACATCTTGAGCTCCAGTATTTCTTCATACATAATTTTTCTTCAAACCGTTTTGAATCACATTTTTAATGCCTAGTATTTTCATTATCACAATAGTTCAATTCCTCTGACATTCACCATATTCACTTTATTTCATCGTGTTAATTTGGAATGGAAACTTGAACTAATGCACATTTATTTAATACTCTACATTGGTTTTAAGAGACTGAAGTGAATTATTAAATTATAAAGAGGTATTCAATCACTGATGTAGAATTATTTTACTGAATACCTGAACGTGAACGAGAAATTATTGAACATATTTTGTTGATTTTAAAGGAAACTTTCTAAAATTAATTCGACAAGAAATTCATCTTACCAAATATCATTTAGATTGACCACAATATTTAAAGCAATTAGTCCCTTGGATAAATTTCGATAATGTAATAAGATTATCATAGTTCTGATTACCTTTGTCTTCTTATTACATTATCGAACTTGATCACAATATATTTGTTTGATACATACACGTTTTGGTTCGACAGTAATGTCTGAAGTTAAAAAGAAATTCTTATAGACTGTTAAATAAAGTCTGTTTATTAAAATTGTAGTAAACTCTTCTGCACATAACTTCTTCTTGGAATTATTTATGTATTCTAACCAGGTAAATTTTGTGATAAACAAAGAGGATATGAACTGATAATATGCAAGTCGAAAACTAATATGATTTCTACCCTAATCTCAAAATCTTATATCCTACTGAGGCATGGAATATCACAAGACAAAGTTTAACCAGTAACTATAAAGAATATACTTTATGGAAAAATACTACCGTTTTATTGATAGATTCTCTTTGAAGTGGTTATTAGCTAAACTCAAATAATTCCTACTTGAACAAATACCAGACTAAATGAATATACAACATATTTTATCAGTCTACAATCGAGCGATTACCATTTAGGAATTAATCCATAAACTAAATCCAAATCTTTTTCCAAATTATATGATTATTTAGGATTATTGCAAAAAATGGCATACAGAGATTTTATATAAGTAGTCAGTTATAATACTTATAGAGTTTAGTGGAGCATAATGTATAGATTAAAGAAAACTGTTTGAATTTTTATTCTATTATGATTACATTGTATTATTATTAATAATGCCCTTATTCAATGTTATACGTTTGGTACAATATGGAATTCTCAGCACAAAATATTTCAACAAGTTTTTTGAACAAAAAAGGAAACCAGTAAAAGAAACTGATAACTGAATATATATAGACGGGCTCCCCTTTAGGCTCGATTATATATATATATATATATATATATATATATATATATATATATATATATAATCGGGCCTAAAGGGTAGCTCATGGCTATCCGTCTATTTGTCTCTAATAAGTATTGTTGAAGACAAAATGGACATTCAGTGTACATCTTAAGGGCAGTTCCTTTAGACTATCTTCAGGTTAGTCGTTAGTTGATAGCTGCCAACAATACAAGAATAGTAAGGGTACCACAAATCACTTACTAACCAAGCAGCACCAAGACTCTTTAACGAAACTAAACAAAGATGAAACCTTGATCATAAGCAAACCAGATAAAGGAGGAGGTATAGTTCTGATTCACAAGAAGGATTACACTGAAAAAATGGAAGCAATGCTTAGTGATCCCAGCAAATTTTAAAAAGTTACTAGTAATTATGACATCAATCATAAAGTAGAAAAACAATTGGCTAATTCTCTTAAGGATCCAAAGAAAAAGGGAATAATTACGACAATGATTCATTATTCAATTAAGCTGACTGGATAATGTACACCATGACTGTATGATCTGTGTAAAGTTCATAAATCGGGTCTTCCTATAAGCCTAGTTCTAGATATGTAAAATTCTCCTTACCAAAAAATTGCAAAATGGCTAGTGCAAATATTAGAGCCTTTGCACAAATGAGTTGTTAGAAAGCGTGTAAAAGATGTCTTCGACTTCACCACCAAAGTGGAAAATATGGATGTTAGTATGAAAAATATGATCTCACTGGATGTAGTCTCTTTGTTTACCAACGTACCACTTATCGAGACTATTGAGTTTATATGCGGGCATATATACATAAGTTAAGCAGACAGACTACCTGGAATTAAATATTAAGTTTCTTAGGACTTGAATCTGTACAACTTTTTAATCAGAAACATATTTGATAGTAAAAATTACTGACTAGGTCAGCTCTAACAACTTGTTCGACAAATAGTATATTTACTAGATAAGATGTTAAAGACCTATTATATTTTGC